AATTACCAGTGTGGACTTGATTCTTCTCATATATCAGCTTGTAAAAGATACTAAAATTAGATGTCCATAAGAAAAAGTACACATCATCAAAAAAATCACACTTAATCCTTTACACCCCAACATCAGTATGCGTATTCTCCATACTGTCTCTACATTCCCTAAGGTGCTGACAAGGAGAATTTGTTTAACAATCAAGAGCTTTTTTAGTTGGTGATCATTTCCTTTAAAATTTGATGTTTTCACATGTAACAAGATGATCAAGCTGAAGATAGCCTCAAAAAGGATTGAACTCCACTGTAACAATTAGGTGACTAATTTGGAAACTTGAGCACTTGGTAAATAACCTTGGCTTGCAGTTCTGACGATTACAGTTTGCTGGGGTAATTGAAATGTCAGTCTCCATACAGGAACTTTCCACATGACCTGTTCAGTCATATGCAGTGAGATAACTTTAGAAAAATGTTATTGTGTTGGTAGAACTATTGTAAGTACAGTACCACCTTGTGACAAAATTAATGATTTCCCGTAAGCATTAAGTGTGACGATAAGTTTTCGCGCCCAAACTGGGAAACTGAATCTTCGCGGACGGCACAATAACAACTGGGGGAAATAACTCGGTAGAGACCACTTGGCAGCGAGAACGGAAACTCGTCACGGTTTCCTGGCACACGGAAATCTGCTTCGAGTGAGCTTGTACGGACTTCAAGAATAATCTTATAATAATCAAGACAATCTTTGGTTCCACATTACTTTTATTCTAGGTCATGCCAACAAGCGACATGACCTCTAGCGTACTCAATTTTGTAATCATCAAAGCTGTACAAGGTACTTGCTTAAGAACTAACTGGTGTGAGGTGTTATTGTTACACAGATCGCAATATTTGAATAGGGACACAAAGGAGCGGAAAAAGTCTCTTTGAAGTTAAACGAAAACTACTTAAATATTCTATCTGTTTCTACGACGGAAAGAACCTCTAAGTTAAAAAGACAGATGCAATAAACTCTAGGCCAGTAGTAGGAAACTTAGGTGCGAATTCACAGCTCTGATATAGAAAATGATACCTATCTTAATTGCAGTAGCGCAGCTTAGGAAATAAAAACGGAAAAGCAATTAAAAGTTTCTGCTTATCTATGCAAGGTTGGTGTGGAAACTATCGTATGAAAAGAAATTAAAGTTACGAGTATAAACTCAGCCGCTAACTACCATGAAAACCAATTTTTTTCCAGAAAGACCATTAACACTTATATTTACCTTAAAAGAAACCAGTAATAAATAACAAAAGTGCCGGCAAGCAGGTTCATATGATGAAAGCGAGTAACAACAAAAATCTATTTCAAAAGCTACTGTGGTTTTATACATTTTTGATTTACTAAAATGAAAGGACTTGAAATGGTCAAATGTGAAAGTTTACGAGTAAATATGTTTCGAATAACAACCACACAGAAAAACCAGTAAATTTTCCCGTAACATAAGGTTAGGGAGAAGTTATGGTGGTAATTAACCCGTTCTTTGCTAGGATGCATAGGGTTTGATGATTGTAGTGTATATCTTTTAGCTTTAAAACTTTCAACTTTGCATAAATTGTAACTTTTTGCCATATCTATTTCTCTGTACGTTAATCCCTCAAAGTTGAAGTAGGTGAGTCAATAACCTGACTTCCTTTGTCTGGAATTATGTGATTATATAATTTGCTGTGTAAGTTACCACATTGTAACATGTAATGGTATTATTTAGATTGCATTAAATACTCTTTCTCAAGCTTTCATTAATGCATGGTATTTCTTATCAATGCTTATACCTAAACGAAACTTTGATATACGGAATTGGTTTCAAGATACGGGAGTTTTAAAGGGCTAGAATCTGGAAAGGCAAAGATCCTCCTTTAATTTGGATTGAAATCAATGGGGGCCCTCCTTTTTTAATTCGTGTTTTTACTTTGACCTGCCTCCTCCCCTGTAATGTTTAGGGCACATAGATGAAGAGAAAATTGTTTGTATTTTAACGCATGAAAGTTATTAAGGCTCAATTTTCTAAACTGCAATTATAAGTCACGCTCAATAGAATATAATTGTTACTGATCCTGACATCATACACTTCATCTGAACAAGAAAACATTCTCTATCTTCGAAAATTTGCTCAAAACATCCGGAACAACAACGAGGATCTCAGGCTGTTTAAAGATACCACTGACTAACATGCGTGTTGATCGCCTTGCAAGTTGTGAGAGCATCATCCCCAGGTTCCAGACTTCGTCAATTGTTTCCCCCCTCCCCAACTTCCGGACTGGGCTGGGTTGTTCAAAGCTGGGTTAAGATAACCAAGGGTTGGTGTGAACTCTGATTTCAGATCTGAAAGCTTTAAAAGAAATTCAATATAATTCTTTTTGTTAAGAATTTGACGATTGGATGCTCGATATAGAATAGAGGAAATGATCCCAAAAAGGCTTTCGAACAAAGGAGTAAAGAAATCCAGATTAAAATTTAACCCTGTGTTAGCACTAATTCGCCTCCGAACAACTGGGCCCTTGTCTCTAAATCCCCTTGAGGAAACTCTTCTACAATCAGCGCTGAAGAGTTTTATTACAATTTTTATTCAGTATAATGAAGGGCTGGAAAAATAACCTAACTAGAGCTCCGCTTTTAGGCTTGGCTAAATCTATATTATATAGATAGATAACAGTTTTCAAGAAGTTTGTGGACTCCTCGACGTGTGCGTGACCAGCGGCGTTCACGACGAAAGGTAAACCTTAAAAGACTTTCAGCTGTTATTCACTTTTAAACCTAAAATATTTAGATTACAGTGCACAGAAGTTTTTGTGTTCAATATTGCTGACTCACTGAGAAGTAGAGGCAAAGTGAGTAGATAAAATCATTGTCCTTGTTTGTTTGTTTTCTGCTTTGTGTCTTTTTCTTCATTTTTCGCCACTGTGACCCACATACTTCTCGTTATATTTGATTAAGAAAGACGTATTCAAAGATTTCTTTTGAACTTCTGCCGTGTGTAACACCAAAAGCAACATATCAGAATGAAAAAGAAGAGACTTCTTTGTTACGCGAAATGTGGTCGGAAGTCGGGAGATCTTTTTCTTAGCACTTTCTACGCATCTTTAGTGTGTGCCGTTTAGTTCAAGACACTATGGCAAAACAAAGGCTTCCCGCTTGATCGCCTGATGTAAAAGCGAACCAAAAGTGATTTAATTTTTGTTCTAGTCTTTGGTTGAGTTCTCCAGATTAAAAAATAACTTCATTTAGACGCTTTTAGAAAAGAAAAATGGCGGAGCGATTGATTCTCCAACAGATGCAAATACCCGATTTCTAGCTCACCTGCAATTTCTATCGTCTTCAAACTAAACTTTTGAAGTCAAATTTCAAGTCAAAACGCTTCAGTAACAACTTAATTTACCGTCTTAGCAGATTACTCTAAAGACCGAGTTCTCCGTTCTTCCCTCCTCGTTCATCGTTTATCGTTTTTAGTCCCTCCAGAACATCACATTCTGTTCCATTGTTTAAGTTAGTATGCATGGTCATACTGATACTGATTTATAAATTACATGTCAAGCATACACATAGCATGTGCTACACTGTTAAGAATGAGAATTCAAGAATGATTTTTCATGATTTGAAGAAAGAAAAATCACCAGCACTCTTTGAGTTTAGTGAAGAGCATGTACGCGACCTCTCAATATCAATGAAATTAAGGGTTTGATCCTTTGAGCTTGGCGGGAGGTCCAATAATTCAGTGCGACATCGTTTAGTCGCATCGCTTTTTATGTTACGATTTTAGAACTAGCTGTCGTTTCAGCGAAGAATGTGGTGGAAGGAATAACCACTGTGTTTGACGAATGTATGGTGTTGATGACCAACAGACTCGGACCTCTGGTCAGAGAAAGCATCTCGCGATGGAGGAAAATGAAAATTAAAGGAATATGTAGGAATATTGCATGTATAATGTCTACGTAAACTTTCTGCACACCTGACTACGTAACACAAGTGAAACAGAGTCATTTAATAAAAGGCACTGGTGTAGACTTTTTGGGTTTGTAAAACTGATGATCAAAAACGAAATAATGAAATTCTTCTCAGAAATCGTTGTAGATCATCGGCCACAATTTTATGACGTTCTTTCTCGATAGAAAGCAGAATGAATTGTAAAGCGAAATCAGAGTAGACCTCAAATCAGTTTTGACTAAAAGGCCATTTGATAGTTTCTGTCTCTATGTAAAGCTGAATGCCAACCATTTGATCACTGCAACGGTTACTAATTATTTTGTTAGTTGATTATGTCCTATCTCGAGAGAACCGCAATCTAAGTGACTCAAGACTAGCAGCGTAAACCCCTATCGAAGTGCAAGAGAAGAGGATAGGGTTCTCGTTGTGATTGGATATTTTGTAAGAGAATATCAATTATTAACTGCTGAAAACAGCTGTTAAGGTATGATTTAACCGACAGAAAGAACACTTATGATACTCCTACAAACCCAACTACCTTATCAAACAACGTGTAATATTCTTACCAAGGAGCGACTCCTAAAAAAAACAAAACAACGTTAGGGAATATTTCCAAACAGACGCTAAACTCTCCTTCATTTGACTATTTTGAAGACTATTCCTCAAGTATCCTCTACTCCAGACTGAAAGAGCGTTATTTTGATATTAGGTACTGTTTCTAGTGCAATTATTTATATCAGCTGAGGAAAGAAGGGTTTTGACCAAAAGGTAACCTAGTTTATAATTATGTAAGATTGAGGGACTCTTAACCTCTACTGAGAGTGACCGGAGAACATGGTCTCTTGGATGTAAGTCTCCTGAAACACGTACAGGCGATTTTTTGCACTTCCGGAAGCTCTGTTACTTTGGTTTGGTTTTGTCCTTCCTTCAAAGGAGAGATCTACAGAGATGGGTCAAGATATATTAGATCAATTTCGTGGAGAGAAAAATGTGAACTCGTGTACGGCATCATCATGCAGACAGAGTCAACTCAGAATTTTTCAACACTTTTATTATGTAAAAATTTAAAGTTATTACATTAGCAACGTATCCAAGAAAAAAAGACTTCAACCCGTACCTACGACCAGTTTCGTTGAGTAATAGTATCTAGTACGCGAAAACTATCGGCTTATTAGGCCAAACAACAAACTTTCTTGCAGAAGTAATGTGCCAAGTATAATTTTGATTAGAATTCCGTATAAAAGTATTTCGAGTTGGTATCGCAAGTAAAGGCGGTCTTTGGGAAAGCAATTTATACGCACGATTAGCTTTCCTAAAAACAAGCGGGTTTTGCGGCAAAGTTTTTTAGCAATTTATTAAAATTGTACACAACTATGGCTTTCAGAGCGAGATCTCATCACCACCTCAGAATTGAGCCAGAAAATAAACTGAACTCAAACGCTTGTGTCGAGGCATATATATAAATACTTAATATGTTAAAGAGAAAATGAGAGTAACCTTTATCGGTAAACTTATAAAAGCGTTTCAGCGTTTAAGAATATGAAGTCAATTGAATTAAAGTGTTACAGCCTAACTGCTAAACGCAACATGCCTATTTCTACCAAGTAAGCGTGTAAGAAAACGATGATTAATCCCTGAAACTTGTCTAGGCGAAGTGTTCAAAATATTAGCAGGTCATACACCGTAGACGTGTATCTAACTACACCGTTAAATCCTCGACGTTTGCATACAATTGCTTGTCGTACATTTTCATGTCAATTAGCTTCTGCAGAGAAAAATAATATAATAATCAGCACCATTAAATAAGTTTTAAGTGGTTATCCTCTCAAGTGGTCAGGTTTTCACACCAAAACAAAATCAAGGAGGAAGTATTTTATAGCTACTCTTTGTGCGTCTCAATGCAGTTTTGCAATCATCCTATGATCTTTTAAATAACCATCAAGTGTTAATTGTCATTGAGACATTCAAGTTCATTTCTTTGATGTTTTTCGTGGAGTGCTAGCCTCAGTGACATAACAAAAAGATGCATTCCAAACTTCGTAAAAAGTACAGAGATGAGTACATATTACTACGCTATTTAGGCTCAATGCTGTTACGTTTAACCCTAATTAGCTAAGCCTAAGCCAGTCGGTCTTACGTGAAAAAAAAACTTTCATATTAATAAAGATTCTGACCTTGTGCAGGGTTTCCATGTCCTTAAGCTGATTTTTCAATTCATTGAAAGTTGGTCTTGCGTCTGGGTCATTCTCCCAGCATTTCATCATGATCTGATACCTGGTATTGTTCAAATGATCCGTTAAAGATTTAAAGAACGTTTCCTTGTACGACGAGGGAGAACGAGTAAACAAAGAAAACTTACAATTTTTCATCGACGTGTTGAGGTTTAGGCATCCTGTATCCATCCTGGAGTAAGTTTGCAATTTTTCTTCCATCCATTCGTGGGTAAGGTGAACCGCCTGGAAGAACCACGGGACCATCGAAATATAAATGTGACGAAAAAAACGCCTTCACTGAAACACCACCTGTGTCACTTGATAGAGTTTGAAGCTCATTACGTTTGTCTAACTGAACACGATACATTGTTTAATTAAACATGGTATGAAGCAAAAAACATCTACAGAGCCTTAAACTTCCTTTCGATGTTACCTATGGTGAAAATCTCGTACAACAAAACTCCATAACTCCATCTGCAGGAAGACAAATCAAAAGAATATAAGTTAAGTGACTATAGACATAAAAAGTATATACGACGAATAAAATATATGTATTCTTAGACAACGCATAGAATTCAAGTCCTAATTAAAATTAATAACATTGTTGATAAACTGCTACGGGTAATAATCAGGTATACTTACACGTCACTTTTGGTGGTATATTTACCATACAATAAGGCCTCATAAGCTGTCCACTTCACGGGAAGACGGCCCTAAAGATTTTAAATATCACTTTGTGAAAAAGCTCGAGAATTATAGGAAGCGAGTAGTCAAAAACAGTGATATTTAAAATTGTACTCGTATACGCATGGCTGATAGTTTCATTAGGGTCCCAAGGAATTCATGATCGAAATCAGGAATATATCAGCTCAACCACAACAATGATTGTCAAAGATCACTAAACTGAACGAAATGTGATACCGCCCTCACCTCCCCTTTTTCTTGATTACCTTTGTCTTTCGTTCATAAATATTTTCCTGCTGCACATCTCTGGCCATCCCGAAGTCTGTCACTTTACACATTTCCTTTTGTCCAACCAGCACATTACGGGCCGCAAGGTCTCGGTGAATGATCTAAGAAAGAATTGATGTAACAGCAAAAATTAGCGATTGTAGAAGAAAAAGAACTGAAATGAAATGGTTCAGAGAGGAAAATAGAAATATCTAGCAACATAATATGCTGTGTGTATTTCTTTTTCTTCCAGATGGCAGAAAATTAAAACTACTATAATATCTCCTCCATATTCCAAAGAGCAGCAAACTACTTTATTTCTGCAATACGTAGTTATTTCAAAGAACGCTTATCTCAACATTTTAATCGAAATAGGATTCTGTAATGAAGCAGTTTAGCGACCAAAGACGAATTTCTTAATTTGAGGTTTTAATTCCTTTTCTTCCTTGTCACTAAAATGGATATTTGTTGTACACTCAGTTTAAGATGAATATCTTAAAAGATCCTATTCATTCACGTCTCTGCCTTTGTTCACACGAGAAAAACCCAGATATTTTATTTCGATGGGGTACACTTGCAAAGATGCACAAATATCGCCATTCTCACATTGAAATAAAACTTAGATAATAACGTCAAAATTGTGAGGGTTCCCGGCCCTAAAGAAATAACCTCGACAAGACGGTAAGAATGCGTCTGCATCTCCCGGGCGTGATCTTGTGAAGACATAATATTCTAAGCAAGACAGAGCTTAACATGATGATAGACCTTACAAGAAGGTTTTAAAATTGTTTGTCTCTTGTTTTTTTAATAAACTTACAGATTTTGCGGATAAGTAACTCATTCCATCAGCAATTTGCCAAGCAAACTTTATCAGCTGCTGTGACGTCAGATTAGTTTGTGGTTTGATATCCGGGTCTTTGTAGTAAGTGTCTTTTAATCCACGGCTCTTTCTCAGGTAACCCAGCAGATCCCCAAAAGGCACATATTCAATCAAAACCAACAGCTGTTCTGAAGAAATTAAACAATTTAATTGATATATTATTCTCTATAAAAAAATAGCAATAATTAAAATAAATGAATAGCCCAGTCATGGTCAACACTTTTGAAGAAATCGCGTGAAAACAAGAAAAAACTGTGTAACGATCTCATGAGAAGGTACAGACCAATTATTCCCATACAATAGGCGTTTCTGCTTATACAACAGAATGAGCTGTTCAGTGGCAAATAATCGGTCTTAGTCTATCAGTAAATCCAGGAACGTCTGTATTGGCTAAAACAAGGTAAAATTATCTCATGCGATGGTTGTTTGTTGTGTTCAACTGTGAAGCAGTGACTCTTGCATTGAGGCAAATTATCAATGATGAGAGAGCGTTACAGAGAAAATCATAAGCAAGATGTGTACAGCAAAATTAGACCCGCATAACCAAAGCATACCAGATTCCGTAACACATCCCAGAAGTTTAATGACGTAAGGATGTGGTTTTAGCTGTTTCATTGTGTCAAGTTCTTTCATCAGATCTCTCTTGTCCGATTCAGAAGCGTTTGCTGGAACATTAAAAACAAGGAGCAAAATTTGGTTAACGGGAATAATATGCAAAATGTCAAAATAACAACATAAGTTATAAAATGGAAAATAGCTACATAATAACAGTAACCCGGTAACATTTCCTGAATGTCTGTAGGCCAAGACTGTCATTCAATTTACAGTAAAAGAGCTCACTTTTAAGCATCTTAATAGCCACTGTGGTCGTTTCAGGACTCCCTCGAAGTCCTATTGCTGTTCCCTTGGCAACCTGACCAAAAGCACCTTTACCAATGATTTTTTCTATGGTCACGTGATGTCTTGGAACTTCCCAGCAGCGTGTTGACGGATGAAGAGGCACGTAATCAGCACCTGGAGCTGTTCTTTGTGCTTTTCTATTATCTTTGTTGACTTCTACGAGATCCATGTATTCCGCAGGAGGCTGGGTGAGTTTTCTTGAATCGCGCTGACTTGGTTCGATATCTTCTAATCCTGTTTCATTCTATTAAACCAACATACCGTTAAGGTATTCGTATACCAATCTGTTATTAATCCCAGAAAAAAGTTCCACATGGTATTAAAAATCAGTTTACCATTTTTCTCAGACAAATGTTTATATTATTCCATGAAAAGAGATTATAAATAGTTTATGATCTCTTATCCTTATTATTACTAACATTTTGTTCTCTGCTTTTGAAACTATCACGTCCAAAGGAGAGATCGAGGCTCATAGCATATTCGCCGAAGCTACAATACTACAATTGGTAGTCCAATATTTAAAAAAAATAAACGCACGAAACAACTATTGCTGTACTAAGCTCCTAAACTCACGTTTAGAAAATAAGGCATCAAGAAAATACGACGGTCAAAATGCGCTAAATCTATTATTTAGAGAGCAAATATCAACCGGGTGCAGACCAGTTAGCGATCTATGAAGTGAAGCCAGGCAGCTGAACCAAGGCCAATCGAAGGAAAATCCATGGAGTGGCTTGGTAAAGGACATGATCACAGGACAAAGATCTTATCGAGTCTAGTTTCCTCTTTTATTTCATTGTATCTGCCACTGATGCAATATGCTTTTTTTATGTAGAACTACACATTTTCTCCTTATTTGCTGCAAGCGTTTATTTTCTCTTAGAAAGTTGAGGTAAAGTAAGATTACATAATTTCTGGTCACACTTACATGACCTCAATGTCTTAGCTGTAACTTACTTCGAAAACACGTCTTTCATCTTCATAAGTCCTACAATCGAGAAAGCATAGAAATAATTATAAAACGCTAATAATTTCATCCGTTTTGATTGGAATTTTGTGTTAAGATGAAACCATATCGGGCACATTACATCGACACAATCCAAGTGGCAGCAAGTTCTTACCTCTGTTTCCCTACAGCGCCTGAAAAAGAACGAAAGGAAAAAATACAAATGATGTAGATGTGGGTTAAAATTTGCTTTTGTATAAAAATGAATCTTGCAGCAAAACCCTCTAACATAGATTATGAATTTTTAACCTACCTTTCCTGTGTAGCCAGATTATGTAAATAATTAGAAGAAGGATTGTGAAGGCAAGAACCCCAATTATGGCTAACAAGACGTTGTTAGATGGGCAGTTACATTCCTCAGGACCTAAAATGATTCATTTTACAAAGCTTGATAAAATAACATTCAAACAACATTTACACTGATCCTGGTCGATATACCGCTCTCACTAAATAGCTTAGGCTCATGGCTGAAAAACTTTAACTCTAATTGGCTGGGTACTAAGGAAAATTAAGGTGGCACTCTCTCTATAAGAATTTTTAAAAGTAAGACTTTGTTTAATTAAATAAATCAACAACGAAAAAACCAAAAACCTGGAAATGTATCAGTCACAGAATAGGTTGTTTATTTAAACAGATACGGAATGCAATTATAAAGAGTCCATCTCAGGAAGAATACGTGTAAACATTTAATAATTTATTTGTATAATTTACCTTTTGTTGTGCTTTCCGAGCCATCTGTAGGTATTAAAACGTGTTTAATTGAGTCTGGATTGACTTTAAAACCTCCGAATTTGTCTTGCCTCGCAGCATGTGACAGGAGAATCAAAACATTTCTGACGACTACACTTTGATTGAACCTCATCATGAAGTCAAGAACAACACTGCCACACCTAGATAAGGGGGGGGGGGTGAGCAAAGAGTATCATCACACATATTTGTACTTTGGTGACTTGTAAGTGTTAAAATATATTGAGATTTAACCAATGTAATAAACCAAGGTACATAAAATTAATTCATGTCATTCTGTCCCAATATATTATTGTACATTGAAGAAAATGTACTTCAAATGTAAATTATCGTGCATTAAATAAGATTTGGTAGAGCAGAAAAACCAGTTTTACCGCTAAAATACAACACAATGAGATAAAGCTCCTTCCCCCTACTAGAACGCAAATTTGCGTTTGCGTTTGTTGTTTCAGAGTAAAACAACAAACTGTACCTTACCTGGTGTTCACAGTGTTGGCGGATGAGCAGCCAAACTTAAAGGCAATTTGACAGGCCTAAAAGGACATGTAAAGAAAAAAACGTATATTCAAATGCTTGCCACATATTGAAGATCGTTCAAAATATCATTTTTTTTAACAGAAATATTAAGATTTCATTCAAGAACAGATTAAGACTCAATTTTCATGATAAATCTCATGACAGTATTCCACATATCCAGTGTGTGGATCAAGTAGATTATCTAACCATATCTGGAAATTTCTCAGCAACTTCTGAACGTCTGCTACAGTTCTCCTGTATTGTCGCTGTCAGGTAAACTTCTGTGCTTACTGTTTGAACAGGGGAAAAACAAAATACGACTTAAAATGAACGTGTGTTTGTTTGCCCAAGAATTATCATTTGAACTCGTGTACAAAAAACAGCCTTTACTTAAAAAGAACACTGGCATATAATGTACGAATGTGAGGCCAATTTGAGAGATATTGTTTTTCTTGTATTTTGCGTCACGATGGTGTCCTCAGAATCGTTCCCCAAGTCGTCTTCCTTTTCGCCGAAGTATAACTTTTTGAAATAACCGCTATGAAAAGTTATGAAATAGATGACATTGGTAGAGCCAGTTTTAACATTATACTGATCAAACAGTTGTCCGTTTTACGCAAAAATAATATACCAGTTTTTGGATCATTTTGAAGTTATTTAAATTTGTTAGAAGGACAGGTCTTATTGCGTGATTGTGCCGCTAAAATGGAATACGATCATTCTCTTCCTACTGTGACGTTTGTGGATTGCCGACTTTCGATCAGTTGTTAAAGACTCCCTTGAATGACAAAGGTAGGATGGCCACGGTTTTTTGAAGAACTGGCATATTGCCTCTGATATCTTGAAAAATCAGAACTGTCAATATATAGGCAATGAAGCCTAAGACACTGAGAATAAGGAATGGTATTCTTGACATGTAATGGATTTGAAGATGACAAAACCATGAGACTCCGTGGGTCTGCAGCACACCCATTAATGCATAGACCGTCATCTGTTAACTTTGACTTGTAGAGAAGCCAAAGAGGTGTCAGAAATTTCCCAGATCTATTTTAGAGCTGGATGAAAGTAACTGACAGCAGTTAAAAAATAATCGAGTTCCTCTCTGGTGGAAAAAGTAGCGCCTATTCAGTGATCAACGTAGCGACCTCAGATTTCAGCCCCCTATTTACGCCTAGTGGGTGACTCTATCTCTTTGTAATACATTTGCATGTCAAGGGTCGATTCCCTGTCATTATAAATAAGTCTCGTCTAGGAATGTAATTTCTGAATTCGATATTATTCACACAGCCATCGGCTGAGAGTGTAATTACTGCCGTTCGTGAAGATTCTTAAGCAAGACTGCTGTTTCGATTCTTTCAGAATCTCTTTGGTTTCCTCCTAAGAACGAATTTGATCGCGGAAGAATGATGGGAGCCCACAGGCCCTTCAACACTTTTTAACTTTCCTTTTTACGAAGGAGCGGCAACAGACAGTGAATTCCCATTACATACATTTCTCGCTATTCTCTCTTCCATAAAAGATGTTCACTCGACTGCAACAGGATGCAAATGACTTAAGCCCCGTTCAAACGATCACGATCGTTGATGATAGACAACTGAATGATAGTTTCAACTTTCATTCACATCATTGACTATCAAGTTTGTGTTCAAACGGTTCATGATAGTCGATGATAGTTGACAAAATACCACCCAATGAGATCGCGTAATTGTACACAAATATGGTCCACGCTGAGGTCAGCAATTTCAGTGGCATTTGAAATTTTAGTCAAGAAATTACAAGTTAAAGATACTGAAGCCTACCAGGAAATGATAAGAATTAACTACGAGACATTCTGGGGAATTTCGACGGCTATTTTAGTCATTTTACCATTTGCCATTTCGGTTTGAGCCCGTTTTTGGCAAAACTGCTGACCTAACCACTATCATTCACTATCCTCCTCTCGTCATCTTGCGACCATGATGAAAGGCAATCATAGTGCGCAGAGGTTCAGGATAAATAACGTTTTCTTATTCAGATGTCGTGTATGATGTCGGCGTCGGTTGAAATGATATTTCATTGAGCGTTATTGTGAACTTTGGTTTGGGAAAATGAGTCAGAGTTTTAAAGAAACGACCGTAAGCAACTTCCAGTTAAGAGATTACCGGTCGATTAATAGATGGTTATAAGTGAGAACAATGAGTCAGTGAAACAATACGCCAGAAACGTACGGGCTTCTCTTATATCTTCTCTTTATGTCGCCAGGTATGACTGTTCACTCCACAGTTTTCTCTATTGTGTCAAACTCCTCCGGTAATTGTATTAAATTAAAAAGAATAGTCACCTTCAACCAGTTATTTTCTCAATTCTTCTCTTTTTGTTGTTCGTGTTTCATGATTGTCCTCATTAAACCAAATTTCAATGATCATGGCAACTCTGGCCGCTGAAATATGAAATTTGTCTTGTATCTGTTTCATGCGCTGCTAAAGTTTGATTTAAACGAAGACAGGCTAGAACTAGAATATCTCATCTCAAACTTGTTAACGACAAGAGACTTTAGATTCGACTTCAAAGATGTTTGTAGAAAACTAAGAAGGCTTCATGTGGGTTAGAGGATGTGAGGCAGCGCAAGGAAAGAATTTGTAACCCGTGTTTTGAGCGGGAAATCATACTGGTGAGGTTGTTGTTGAAAAGTGATTCTTGGTATTTTGCAATCTCTAATGAACTTGCAAAGCAACGATACTCAGAGCCAAAGCTTTTCCAAACGGAAGAAATTACGACAATTCGAGTTCATGGAGAAAGGATCTCGAGTGAAAATAGACTGGAAATAGAGAGAGAAAGAGAGACCAAAGAGAGAAAGAACTGAAAAGACGTGGAGCGAGTCGAGAAAAACGCGAAATGGGGTTTGATAGGGCGAAGAATAGGTAGAACACAGTGAGGGGAAGACGATAGAGAACAAGAAAAGGCTGAAGTAAAATGGCGAATATCATGCGAAGACCAACGTGAGAAGGTTGAAAGAGCTCCAGAAAACAGACTAAAAAGAGGTCAACAACAAAGAGAAAGCGAACTACGCTTGTAGCGAAAACGAAAATCCCCGAAAACTAGGACCTAAGACCTAAGGAAATGAAGACCCCTTCATGACCTTGAGACAGGAAGTTTGTGTCACGCTCTGTAGCTTCACCGAAGAAAATCTCTGAAAAGATTGACAACCTCTCTGCGTGAGGCAGCGTGATCATACATTCTTAATTAAGCTAAAGCGAAATCGCCGACAACAGGCCACTTCTGAGTTCTTGCGGCTCAGTAATCTGGTGTCGAAATTACGGTGCGCAGAGGAAGCTAAGTGCGAAGTCGCTTTCATCGGTATGAAGAGTAAAGTGCAGTGGTGGTGAAAATGACAGAAGAGTTCTCGGAATTCAGTGTGGGAGTGTGAATTTTTTTTTTGCGGGAGAGAGGCATCAACTAACTGATGACGGCAAAGAAAAGAAAAAAGCGGTTAATTTAAATGTGAGAAGACAAAACGAAAGTGTTGCAGACTTCTCTTTCCAGATTCAGATCAGCATGTGTCAGTAAACTACTTAAAATATCTGTGTGTGCCAGTCAATGATTGAAATCTCAGTTAATAGATATGCCATATATTTGCAGTTGGCATACAAATATCAACTGCGACGTAAGTAAAATTTTTCTCGTTGATTCAGGTTCTTGCAAGCGAAGAATTCACCCGTAAAAACCTCGATGTTGATGACACGGAGAGTGCTTGAAAACTAAGTAAAGAAAAGGATAAACCGTTGAAAGGGGAAAATAAGATTCATTTGAACATACCTTCTTTTGCTTTGACTTGCTGGATATTTGCTTTCTCTTGTTTTAGGCTTTCACCAAGCTCATTAGTTGCAGTAATAGCAAACTGATACACCTTTCCTCTCTCCAACGTTATTTTCAATTCTCTCACAGAAACATCTCTGATTTTCTTTATTTCTGTCCACTGTCCCACTTTCCCATCAGTCACTACTCTTTGGTACACTGTATACATGGTAATAACTTTTCCATTACTTTCTGGCTCCTTCCACTTTAGGGTAATTGTATCGTCTGTTGTTTCATCTGGCAGTTCGTCTATTTCGACCACATCTGGGGCTCCTAGATTGATGTCAACGACACGAACAGCGTGAAATTGCTAATAATTATACAACTTGTTGTTGCAAATCTGGTCACAATCATTATCAGTGATTGAATAATCTGTAAATTTGTCGAGGATTTTTTTGGGATATTTTGGAAACGAAAGTGTATGGCAAGCAAAATTAAGTTAAGTATTGAGATGAATTCAAAATAATTTGAAAGGACAAAAAGTGATAATGAGAAGCCTAAAATGATGGTCGGTTATTGCCTAAAACAAATACTGCATTTATAAGGTGAATTTGAACGATACACTGACTTCTACTGGCATTGTAATTGCTATTTACACGTGATCAAATGAAGGACCGATGCATAGATGACGTCACAATTCACCGTTCGTTTGTGTCACGTAGTTACAGAAAGGATCTCAGTTCGTGTGCAACTACTTTCCGCTTTTGAAAAGTTTGACATCGCGCATGATTAAGTACAGGCCTACGATTCTTCTTCTGCAAATATAAGCTGGCGCGGGTTTTTCCGCCGAGACAACAAGCTTTTTTCTTCAGGGGGTTTGCCAACCGAGGAGGCAATGACAAGAAGCGCTTAAGCGATAACAGGTGCGACGAACTTCATTGCCATGTTACGGCTGCTCAACTTCAGTTACTAAGTTCACACCTGTTCCCACAATACTTTTTTTGTTGAGTGAGATATGTGCCGGATGAGATTCGAAAGAAACTTTCTTGAAAACGGCAACCTTAATTGTTTTGGTTTGGGCTTATCCCTGCGAAATGAAAACAAGCTATTTCTCATCTTAAAGAAAATATATACGGAGGACTCTTCGAGGCCGTCCACACACTGTTTGACGAGATTTCCCCATAATATTTGCATATTAGAAGCGACATTCATGAAAGGCCCATTTCTTCAAACTTCAATTCTTTGGTCAAACGATGTGTAAAATCGTCTCACTGTCTAAAGGGATAGTTGGTTATTGGGCCTTCTGAATATGGCCGGTAAGAGTTTAGGAAAAATGTATCCAACTAACCTAAAGGTCCCTATGTAGCGGCTGTTGTTGTTGCTGATTCATATAGCAGATTTTGAAACGTGAACATCAGAAAATAAAAAAAAAAAAAAAAAAAACGACAAGGCAAACAATACTTGATAAATCAGGTAACATTTACGGAACGTAACCGCGTAGGTTGTCTATTGTTCTCACCTACGATCATTGTTTTTTCATTGTTTATTATTATGCTTCTTCAAACGTAGGTATCTCTAAAACAATTATCACAAAGGGAAAGGAAACTGGCCACTAAGGAGGGGACAAACGCTGAAAATCCAAAATCTTATAATGCAGCAAGCAGATAACGTTGTTAAAACTGGGTTACTCGCAACAAATCTAAGTTGGCGAAAAAATGATTGGTGCAAAGTGCTCAGTCACGATATCACTTTTGATTCCTCACCTTCAAACTTGGTCTTAATGTTCCATACAGTAGGATCTCCCTCGAATACAAAATTTCTGGAAAACAGTTTCACTGTGTAGTTGGTATTTTTCTCCAAACCAGGAAACGAATAACTTGTCGTCCCAGGATCGGTGATATTAACCTTTTTTATCTCAGTTCCATCCTTTTGTAAGATCATTTGGAATCCTGTAATCGGACTTCCTCCATCAGCTGGTGCAGTCCATTGTATTGTTATAGAAGTTGCTTGAATGACTGATTCTGATTTGATGGATGCTTTCCCTGGTTTCTCTACATAGTGCCATAAGAAAAGAGATTATTTTGAGTTTTGTCACAACACTAAGGATGAATGCAAGTCCACGTCTTCTCACAGTTTATTATTCAACTTTCATACACTGTTCGAATTCCCATTTTCTGATTAGATGATTTTACCACGTGATACTGGGTTATTGTCATTATCGTGGTGTAATAGTCCGTGAACTCGTGCAGGTAAATCCCCATAGTTCATTCGCTGAGTGCGTTAACATGTAATTAATGAATATAAATGTAGCTACCGGATACATTCAGCCAAGAGACTCATAAAAAGTGAAAAAATTTATAGTCCATGGTTGAGGAAGTTTCCTATAGATACCCGCATGGGAAGATGTCATCAATCTGCCTGAAGTTCAATGCTCTTTGTGACGTGTTTAATGCTACCAAAGGGCAAGGTGTCGACAGTTTACATTAAACTTTTTTTTTTTTTTTTAATAAATTTGGGTGTATTTCCCACTAAAAGATCAGGCTAACAATATCTGGCATAATTCCACTATTACGCCGTTATACCTCATTGGGTAACGAACGCGAAAAATATGTGTAGGTCAAACGCAGCTAAAGAGGAGAAAAATGCGAACGGAGCGCTCAGATAAGGCCGCAGGATGTATGTCGAAATCTAGGCGGCCAAATTGTTAGTAAATGAAAGAATAGTAGAATGATAAATCCCTCACTCGATGGTTTAACATAAGCTTATTTTTTTCCACACGCCTGTAAGCCTTGCAAAATATCCGCACGTATTATATGTTAAATCATCGAATGAGATGTACAAAGTGAATGAGTTACTCTGTCCAATACTTTGTAAGAACATTTGGTTTTTACTTCTACTGCAACTGAAACAGTGATAATGAGCAAAGGCAAAAGAAAATGCTGACCTTATATATAGTTTTCTTCTTATCACAATACACTGATCTTTTTTACTTACTTATCTGATTTATCTTTATTAATTTCTCATCAGATGGAGGAAGTCCATTAGCAGCAATGCACTTGTAGTGACCAAAATCTTGATCACCCTTGAGTGGCACTTGTACTTCGTTTTCTCTGGCTGTGACATTGTTTATTCCACTTCCTTTCGGTTTGTACCAAGAGAGTGTTGGTGTAGGAACACCATCAGAAAGACACTTCAAAGTCACTGTCTGGCCAATCCAAGACTTCTTAGATGACGTGGTGACATTTTGAATTGTGGACGGGTCTAAGAATGAATACTAATGCAATAAGCAATTGAATAACTAATTGGTGATACTTCATATGAATCAGAACATAAACGAGCTTTATCATTCCACTACTGTGTCATTTTACCAAAGAAAGTAATGAGGAAGGCAAAATATGTCACAGTATTACATTTTAAAACAAGGCAAAAATACGTCGCAACATATTGGCAGCACTGAACGATCCAAACATTGTTTTTTTTTTCGTTTTTTACATTTGACTTTTAAAGAAGGGAACTTTTAAGCACAAAGGAACACAAAGGACATTTGAATGCTTTAGTTCTGGTTGTTTCCATCTTTCGCGCATATCTTATCATATCAAAAAAATCTGGCGTCGTCATGAAGGAGGGCGGATGTGTGATTCTGAGCTCCCGAGTTATTGGACTTGTACTCCTCTTGTGTCTTGTTCATACCTCGAGGAAAGGTAAACATGACTACTCTTTTACAAATGAGTACTTTGGTCTACGTTTCCCGCACTCTACGTCGGTTAAAGTGGCAAACTGGGATTGGAGACTCTGCATAATAGAAAATACAAAATGGCGGGCACACGTGCATGTCACTATTAGAGTGAAACGAGCAAACGTTACTACAGCCTATTATGCCAATTCAACCTCGACCTTTAGACCTGTTATACAACTGTTACATGATGTTGAACTTAACCCTGGACCAGCAAACAGCTCTATTAGAAACAAGTCTGAAAAGTCAAATGGCAATGTGAAGATTGCACATCTTAACGTTCGCTCGCTTAAATGCCGTGAGCATTTCGTTCTTGTAAAGGAAACGGTACTGGAAAATAAGTTTGACATATTTACCGTATCCGAAACATGGCTCAACAGTTCAGTTACGGATTTGGAAATAGAAATTCCTGGCTATGTTATCTACCGTATCGACCGACAAGCGAAGATTGGCGGTGGAGTATGTGCTTATGTCTCACGAAATTACAGGACGGAGTACTTGAGCGATATATCTCTTATCACGGCCTCTGGCTTTCACCAACTGTGGCTAAAAATCCACGTCAGGAACATGAAGTCTTTCATTGTCTGTACAACCTATAGACCACCGGACGCATCGTTATCTTGTTTCGATTCAGATCTCACAGAGAACTTTATTTATGCCTCGTCGTTCAATGTTCCAATTTATCTATTGGGAGATTTGAACTGCAGACTTGAGAATAGCAACGATCCTGGAGCTAATGTCCTTGTTAATTTCTGCCGTTCCTATAACTTGTCAATACTGATCAACACGCCAACACGAGTTACAGAGACTTCGAAATCAGTTCTAGATGTTATCCTTGCATCGGACACAAGACAAGTTCAAACGGCTACGGTTATGGAAAGCTCGATTAGCGACCATGACTTGGTTTATGTCACCTTAAAATTGAAGAAAGCGCGCGCCAAACCCGTCTATATTACAACCAGAAGTTTTAAACACTACAGTCCTGTTGATTTTAGCAACGACGTATCACTGGCACTGTGGTCCATAGTTGATGTTTTCGACGATGTCGAGGACAAACTTTATGCACTTGATTCGCTATTTACTGAGATACTCGACCGCCATGCTCCAATTAAAACCTTCAAAGCACGCTGTAAACCAAATCCATGCGTAACAGACAACATCCGGGGATTGATGAAGACCAGGGATGATTGGCGTAAGAAAGCAAATAAAACAAATGATCCGCTATCTTGGACTGCCTACAGATATTTCAGACAGGAAGTAAAGAGGGAAATCAGAATTGCTGAACAGGAATTTGTGGCCCAACAAATCCAGAGGAATCCAAATAACACCAATAATATCTGGAAAGCAATTCGCCAGTGCATCCCCTGCAAATCTACATCTCAGCGAACATACAGTAAGAGCGACAAAGCTGTTGCAGACGAATTTAATCAGTTTTTCGTATCTGTTGGTCAGAGCACTGTTGACAAAATTACGTCCCTGGCTAATGAATGCAACCTAACACTTAATCAGAATTATTTTGTACCGAGACAATACGCTCTCTCTGACCAGTTCACACTGAGTACCATTGATTATAAACAAATAGAACGTATAATAGCAGCGATGCCTTCAAACAAGGCCCCAGGGATAGACAAAATCCCGATTCGTGTCATCAAGGATTGTCTTAATCCAATTGTTCACCCAATAACGTCTATCGTTAATGCATCCTTTCAAAACTGTGTTTTTCCATCAAAATGGAAGACAGCTGTGGTTACACCAATCCCAAAAGAGGGCGACCAGGAACAGGCAAACAATAATAGACCCATCTCACTTACACCAGTCTTATCAAAGGTTTGTGAAAGGGTAGTACATAATCAGCTCACCTCGTATCTGCAATCGAATGACACCCTATCAAAGAGCCAAAGCGGTAACAAGAGATGGCATTCGTGTGAAACGTCTGTGATTGAAACAACTGACACAATTCTTAACGCGATTGACAAAAAGAAGTTAACGGCAGTTGTTCTATTAGATATGAGCAAAGCTTTCGATAGCGTCAATCACGACACGTTAATTTTAAAATTGCAAGATGTCGGAATTTCCAGAGACGCTCTCCAATGGTTTCGTAGTTACCTAAGCAACAGGACACAAGTAGTACGAATCCATTCAACGCTATCTGAGCCTTTGTCCGTGACCAACGGCGTCCCTCAAGGAAGTATCTTAGGCCCACTACTATTTAGCATATATACGAACGATCTTCCATCGATCCCACAGAAATGCAGCACTCAGAGTTATGTAGATGATACGAAACTCATCACTTCCTTCGAACTTAAAGACAACCTGGATGCAATTGCTGATTTGGAAGACGACTTGTTTAAAATAGGAGAATGGTGTTCCAACAACCAATTGTTACTTAACCCTGGCAAAACCAAGCTGATGATATTTGGCAGCAGGCAGATGCGTGCAAAATTGCAATTTCGCTCCCTTTCCATTATGGGTGAGGACATCGTCCCCGCAGACACCGCCAAAGACCTTGGTGTGATTTTGGATTCTAATTTAACTTACGATGAACACATAATTAAGACCGCTTCCTCGTGCATGTCCCGCCTCGGCCAAATAAACCGTGTCAAGCATGTTTTCGACAAACGTACACTTTTAATGATTATTAATTCCTTAGTTTTCAGCAGGTTATTTTATTGTTCCAATGTTTGGTCAAATACCTCAAAATGTAATGTTGACAAGTTACAGGCGGTGCAGAACTTCGCATGCCGCATTGTTAGCGGTGCGCGTAAATTTGACCACGTTACACCAACTCGCAAGGAACTAAATTGGCTTTCAGTTCAAAGCCAGCTTTACTACCGGAACGCTACTATGGCCTTCAGATGCATGACTGGTCAGGCTCCAGATTACCTCTCATCAAAATTCATAAAGCGAGCCGAGGTTAGTCGACGTAGCACCAGAAATTCGCAGCTTTTGCAAATTCCATTCTTTAGAACAGCTAGCGGTCAGAGAACATTTTTCTATAGAACTGTAAACTTATGGAACTCTTTGGATAATTCCTTTAAACTGTGCAACTCCGTTAAGGTTTTTAAAAAACGTTTAAGGACCAAATTACTCAAAGAGTTGTAATTTTATATATTTGTATGCTTTTATTTTTCTTTTAGAACATTCAGATTTTAAAACATCTTTAATTGTAAATAGGATTTTTTAATTGTAATAGGATTATTTTTATAACATTGTCTTTGAAAAGCCCCCTTGGGGAAAGTCAATAAAGTATGTTGTTGTTGTTGTTGTTCTTATGCAATGGATACGATGCACAGATAAAGCCGTAGGATGTAATTCGCGCACTAAAAGTTAAAATACTAAAAACTGAAAATAATAGTGGAATAATAAATCTTCCATTCGATGGTTTAACACATAACACGAGCGGAAATCTTGTTCGTTACTTGTATTTTTTCCTCGCCTACTCAGGGCTTGGAAAAATTATTATGTTGACAACGATGCGACCTCCTCGGAAACTCAAACTGGTGTTTAATTTACTGTGAAATTTACTTGAATGAAAATCCAATAAAGCAGGGGTACAATCTAAAAGAATACAACAGAAATTTTTAAAACCGAGCTTCTGAGGGTGTTTTGTATAAAATTATCAAAGGCGTGAGTGTGGAACTTGTCAACCAACTCCGACAACTCATGAAAGTGTTTCTTGTCAATACTATGTACCTTTGGCAGTTGGCAATGCTGTGGTAGATGTCAATTAAAAAGGAATTTAGATTTTTAGTTGGAATTTCACACATGAATGACTGAATGTGTTCACGGTTTCTTATGATGTCTCACTTTAAATTCAGCATAATGTATGTGAGCCACGTTGGGTTCCAGACGGAAGCAGATTATTTGCCATTGGGGTTTTAATTCACAGACAAAGGAAATTTTTGTGATTTCACTCTGTTGTTTGTCAGAAGATAGCTAAGAAATGTACAAAGTTTTAAAAGGCATGTGCTGAACTGTTATTCTGCCCATTACAGCTTTTGTTTTGCGATGTCCTTGTTGTCATCACCGTTAAGTTTTGCGTTTAAGTCCCTCAAGTGCTTGCACTGTAAAACAAACTTACTTGCCATCAAATTTAAAAATACTTGTGTTGCATAAGCAGTTAGACTTTTTGGTGCAGTTTCCTTTTGGGTGCAAAATTAAATTTGGTCAAATTGATCTTAAACAATATACCTATTTGGAAGCTCAAGGTTACAATTTTAAAATTTCTACTAGTTCCCAATAAAATCCCTTGATGGAGAAGTTCAGAGCACTGAGATGGATTCATAAACCAGTTGGCTTACCACGTGTACATTTTTCCTATCGCAGTAGATGAGTCAGTCATCCCAGAATGAAAGATGTAAACACGGAGATTGAAACTACAGTCAATTTTTGTTAGCAGCCAATTGACAGCGACAGTCTTTAATTCAAAACATTAGGGTTACAATTAATTATCAGAACTTACTACTCAATTAATAGTACGCCATTAGATCGAAACAGAGCTGACCTCCCTCATTTGTAATTCCAGCTA